GGAGGATAGCAGAGGTTTCAGGGTTTAGCTCCTTGAGAGCCACACTTAGCCCTAGCATGATTCCCAGTACCACAAAAGAAAAGAGAAATGAGAATGAAAAGAGAATACAGTTACTTTGAGAATAAAGAAAAGTAGCTAGAGAGGGGTATAAAATCAAGAGAAATTTTTGAGGTCTGGAGACCTGATCATGTTTAGACATCCCAACAAGATGGGAAAGCTGACTAAATAGGAGAGAAAAAAAGATAGTACCCCAAGTCTTCTAGAAATGTGTGAGGGGATCAGATCAGACACAAAATATAATAGATAGAAGAAGTGTAAGGTTTAGGCATGTAGCTTGACAGTACTTACCTAGCAAGGCAAGGCCCAGGGTTTAGTCTATATACCGCCCCAAACTAAAAACCATAACAAACACTTTATTCATAAAAAGTGTAAAAGAAGGTAGGGAGATTATGTGTGTTACTGGGAGCAAATGTAGACTTCACAGTAGGAGATGAGGGGTTGAGATGATGTACTAGGCATGATGCCTGCCATGTTAGTTTGTACGTATCAGAAATTTTACCTATGGATTCCATTATGGTCAGGAAATGCATAGCAGAAGATGTGCCTAGTTGGAACAAGTAGGAGACAGGGTCATGTCCTCAAGGTATATTTATTGGAGGTCCCTTATTTATCTTTCTGCCTCTGATCTGCCAGGAGGTGAGCTTCTTTTCCCTACCACATCCTCCCAACCTTGTTGTGTGCTCCCTTTCCACATGTGGGGAAGCAATAGAATAACTATTGGAACTAGGGGCTAAAAACATTTCTTTAAAAAAAATAAAATAAAAAAATAAGGCTAGGGACATGGCTATGTTGGTGAAGTGTCTGCTGTACATGTAGGAGGAGCTGAGTTTATATTCTTGATACCCACATAAAAGCTACCCCAAGCTGGGTATGGTGGTGCATGCCTTTAACTCCAGTACCAGGGAGGCTGAGACAGGAGGATCTCTATAAGTTTGAGGCCATCATGATCCACTCTGCAAGTTCCAGAACATCCAGACCTTGTCTCAAAAGAATAAACAAAAGCAATCACAGCACTGGGAGGGGATCACTGAAACTCACTGGTAAGTTAGACTAGCCACACCAATAATGAACTATAGCTTCAGTGAGAGAATGTCTTTAAAAAATTAAGGTGAAGAACAATTGAGGGAGATACTTAAGTTGACCTCTGGCCTCCACAAATATATATATATATATATATATATATATATATGTGTGTGTGTGTGTGTGTGTGTGTGTGTGTGTGTGTGTGTGTGTATGGAGAGGGGGGAGGGAGGGAAATAAATTAAAATGTAATAAAATTTTGAGATAGGATCTCACTGTGTAGCTCTGGTTAACACAGAATTTGCTGTATAAACCAGGTTTGCCTTCAACTTAGAAATCCACCCGCCTCTGCCTTTCAAGTGCTGGGATTAAAGTTGTGTGCTACCACCCAGCTAAATTTTTTAAAGAGTAAACTGCTTCCAGGTTTAGAAAGTATTCTTGGCTGAACATAGTGGCACAAACCTTTTTAATCCAGCACTCAGGAAGCAGTGGACCTCTGAGTTAGGTCAGCCTGGTCTACATTTTCTTTTCTTTCTTTCTTTTTTGTTTTTCGAGACAGGGTTTCTCTATGGCTTTGGAAGCTGTCATGGAACTGGCTCTGTAGACCAGGCTGGCCTCGAACTCACAGAGATCCACCTGCCTCTGCCTCCAGAGTGAAGGGATCAAAGGCATGTGCCACCAACACCCTGCTTAGCCTGGTCTACATTTTCAATTTCAGTTTCAGTACAAGTGGGGCTACATAGTGAAACCCTGTCCAAGAAAAAGAAAGACAGAAAGAAGAGGGAAGGAAGGAAGGAAGGAAGGAAGGAAGGAAGGAAGGAAGGAAGGAAGGAAGACAGAACTCTTGAGGCTTTAGTTGAAAGGAGAAACTTTATTTGCTCCTCGAATCCAGAATGGGAGCAGTGAGAATTGTTATGTATCCTATAAACCCAGGAAGTGTCTTTACCTCTCATCAAACCCCTCTGTAGATAGAACTCACATCCTTGGAAACATTCCCTGCCTAATTTTCCCCAGCTTCCAAATCCTAGCTGACCACACTTATTCCCTCAATTCATTTGACTCCTGGATCACAATCAGATCAAAAAAGATACCAATGAAGAGCTCGATGCAGGTGTGATAGAAGGAGGATCTCCACAAGTTCAAAGCTCATCTGGTCCACATACTGGGTTCCAGGATGGTCAGGGCTACATAATGATACCCTAGAGAGAGGAAGAGAAGGAGGAGAGAGAGAGGATGGGGAATGGACTTAGGAGAAATAAAGATCTTGAGACTGTTTGTGGTTTGAAGAGTTTCCTTGCTGGTTATTTCTTGGAAATATATTATTATTGTATGTGTATGTGTGTTATACCATGCATGTGCGAGTACAGGCACCCACATGCATTAGCATGTGTAGAGATCAGAAGGCACCTTTCACCATTTGGCTCTCTATCATGGGTTCTGGGGGTTGAATGCCACAAGCCTTGTGTAGCAACTGTCTTTACCTCTGAGCCATCTTTTTAGTTTCTGAGATTTTTATTTTCTCAGATTATTGACCATTCTTCTGAGGGAAACTAAAAATAAATCACAAGTCCACATTTTCAGCTGGGTATGGTGGTCCATGGCTGTCACCACAACATTCAAGAACCTAGGTAGGAGAACTGTCCCAAGTTTGAGGCCAATCTGAGCTATATCTAATGAGTTCCAAGTCATTCTGGTCAACAGTGAGAGAGCCTCAATCACAAAATCAATAAATAAGAACAATAAAATAAGAATAAATAGAAAGGTCTATATAGTCATTATTTATTCTTTAATGTTAGCAGGAGGGAGGGAGGTCCATCCAGGAATCTCCTCCCTGTACCAAGCTTGGAAGATACTCAATTTTTTTTAAATATAAAAAGGCACTGTAGTCATGTGGTGGTGTTCTATGCCTTTAATCCCAGCACTGGGAAAGCAGAGGCAGAAGCAGGTGGATCTCTGAGTTTGAGGTCAGCCTGGTCTCCAGAGTGAGTTCCAGGATAGCCAGAGCTGCACAGAAAAACCATGGGATGTGGGGGGGGGGGGCGGAAACCTACACAGTATTTGCATATAACCTATGCATATCCTCGTATAACTATCCACCTCTAGATTATAATGCTAAGTAAATGCTTTGTAAATGATTGCTACACTATCACTTAAAATCTAAAGGGCTGTTGACATGGCTGTGGTTAAGAGCACTAACTGCTCTTTCAGAAGGCTTGGGTTCAATTCCCAGCACCCACATGGCAGGTCACAACTCTCTGTAACTCCAGGACCCAACACCCTCACATAGACATACATGCAGGCAAAACACCAATGCACTCGAAATATAAATAAATAAAAAGAAAAATCTATAATTATTCAGTACAAAGTTTTCTTTATATCTTCAACACAATTGTTGAATCTATGAACACAGAATTTACAGATACAGTGAGCTAACCATAATGTCTTTTATTAATTTTGGAGGGTTTTTAAACTTTTTTCATCACTCACTTGTGTAGGTTTTTAAATATTTTATGTGTGTATTTGTACATGGGCATGTGCATGTGAGTGCAAATACCCACAGAGCCCACAAAAGTTGGATCCCCTGGATCTGGAGTTATAGGTGGTTGTGAGACACCCGATGTGGGCACTAGGAATCACACTCGGCTCCTCTGGAAAAACAGCACACACTGTTAGCCCTTGAGATATCTCTCAAGCACTCATACTGCCTTTTAAGTTCCCTTTTAGCAGAAGTCGTGGCTCAGTGGTAGGTTGCCTGCACAGCACGTGGCAGGTGCTGGGTTAGAGTATCCCTATCATTACAAACAAAAATGCCCAACATTTTTTTTGGTCTGAGCATGGGTACTTTCACCTGTAATTGCAGCAGTGAGGAGGATGACACAAGTTGGTAAGTTTGAGGCCAGCCTGGGTCACATAGCAAGACTACAAAAATAATGACCTATAATTTTAGGATTTTTTTTGCCTGGCAGTGGTGGCACACGCCTTTAATCCCAGCACTCAGGAAGCAGAGGCAGGCGAATCTCTGTGAGTTCCAGACCAGCCTGGTCTACAAGAGCTAGTTCCAGGACAGCCTCTAAAACCATGGAGAAACCTGTCTCGAAAAACCAAAAATAAATAAATAAAAATTTTAGGGTTTTTTTTCAATCTAGCCACACCCCACGAAGTTTTTTGTCTCCTCCTTTACACATATACTCTAATATGTAGTAGGGATAAACAATAGAAAAAGCACTATGGTCACCAAAAATCTCATTATGTCATCCATATGGTCTGGACTTTCTTCTATCTAGCCTAGGCTGATCTTATAATTGCAATCCTCCTGCTTCAGTCTCCTGATTGCTAGAATTGTAGGAACAAGCCACTTCACCTAGCTAGAATATCTTTTTTTTTTTTAGGTTAATCTAGTCCAGATGGCCTGGAATTCACTATGTAGTCCAAGCCTCAGGCCTCAAAAACATGTCAATCTTTCTACTTCAACTTCTCCAGTGCTGGGATTCAATGTGTGAGAGCCTTTAGACCAGGTCAGAATTTCATTTCTTTTTCGTTTTGTTCTTTTTATTCAGAGGGAGGATTGTGAGACAAGGTTTCCTGTAGACCAGGCTGGCCTCCAATTCAGTATGTGAGGAAGGCCTAGAATTCCTGATCATCTGTCTTTACCCACTAAGTGGTAGGATTATAGACATGCACCACCATGCCCAGCTCAGCTCTTTCTCTTAAGAGAAATGAACAAGCCTATTTTTCAGCTATGTGTAAACCACCTAACATGTAACTGGACATATAGGAAGTACTCATATGTTCCTAGTGGCTGTGAGGAACAGAATGCATATGCATGTGCTTGTTTTCACACATGGACCAAACACACAGCCAAGTTGGGGGGGGGCTGAATCCGCTCTTCCATGATGAGGTGAGAGATGACACTTATGTGAAACTGTAGAATATAAGGTTTATTTAGGGGAGCAGCAGCACAGTTTGGACAGTTTTGTTTGTTCTCTACTCCAGCCTCCTGCTGCTCAATGACAACACATAGTCAACCATATCCTGGTCTCTGAGGTTCTAAGGAGGTCACCAAGGGCCTACCTAGAAACTCAACTGTGCAGTTCCTATTCCCCCATAGCTTCTTCTTCCTCCTCTTCCTCCTCCTCCTCTGTCCAGCTCAGGTCATCATCTGAACCCTCAGATTCTTCCTCATCCATCTCTAACAAAACCCCTGCCCTAGCCTTCTCAGCTAGTGAATCGGGGTGCTCCAGCTGGGCCCAGGATCCTGGGTCAGCCTTGACCAGGGAGATTTCAACCCGTGATGGCATCAAGGAGACAGAGCTCTGCTCCACGTTTATGACCTAAGGAGGTGGGAAAGACAGAAAGAATGAAGAAATCACAGGTTTGGGATTAGAGTGGTGATGAGTAAGAACAGAAAAAGAAAGTGGAAGACAGAGGAATGCAATGGGGAAGGACAGGAGGAAGGAAGAGGGAAGAGGAAAAACCAAAGCACTTAAAGAGAAGTCCTCTATTCCCCACGGCAACTCTTCAGCATACCCTCTACCAACTGGCCCTCCTCTTACCTACCTACCTCCCATGCCTCTGCCCACTTCTCTTCACTTACCCCCCAGAGCTTCATTTGTGATTGGAACACACGGTTACCATCAAAGACAACGTGGACATGAAGCTGAGAGGAAAGAATCAGAAGGGTATTATCAATTCCCAAAGGTCACAAAAAGCCATTACTACAGGACCAGGTCACAAGCAAAATCCACAGGCAGCCAACCCTGATATATTAATTTTCCATTACTCTAGGGGGACTTTGAACCTAAAGAGTAAGCTGGGTGGTGGTGGCACAGGCCTTTAATTCTAGCACTCAGAGACAGAGGCAGGAGGATCTCTGTGAATGTGAGGCCAGTCTGGTTTACAGAGTGAGTGCCAGGACAGAGAAACCCTGTCTTGAAAACCAAAAACAAAAACAAAAAAGTGATAGCATACAGCATTTTTCTTTGTAAGACCACACTCCCACCAGAGTTCACTCAACCCCCACCCTGTCTCAAATCATTCCTCACCTCAGTTTGACTGGCTTTCACCCAGTTGAATGCAGGAAGTGGAATCTGGCCATATACAGTCAGCACTACCAAGGAATCTGTTTGGTGCCAATCATGGCGGCAAGATGCTGGCAGCTATAGAATGTAAAAGGAGGATGGTAAAAATCAACTCAACCCAGGAGGAAACTCATGGGTATAAAGACATTAAGAACCCTCAAAAAGATGAACCATTTCATATGGCCAAGACTCTAGGCTATAAAAGCTAAAGAACAGAATTTTACTTGATTTCATCAGCCACGAGGTACTAGGATAGTGTATTTCTGTAATTGGGGCCTAACCAACTATTTAGGAAAGAGGGGCTTACCTGCTTTGCCCAGTCGTGTCTACCAACTCTGCATCCTGGCTGTGCCAGAAATGCTCCAAAATCCAGAGTCTGGATACCACAACAGCTCCAAGACTTCATCCTGAGTAAGATAATTTATTTGAATTCCAAGCTCTTACTCTCATTCATATTGGGAGAAGCCTGCCCAGTACCTTCTCTTACCCCTCGTGAAACCGAGGTGCCCCGGGGTGGTAGGTACATGGAGTAGCATCACTTTCAGGACCTTGGTAAATCTAAGAAGGCCAAAGGAGAATCAGGTCATTCAAATTCATGCCTATACCCAGACATCCCTCAGGTATCTCTCAGCCACATGCTTGAGCCCCCCCCCCAAACTCTCACTCACAGCATCACATCCTGGGTTCTGGCAGCTGGAACCAGTCCAGATCAGACTACTGTCAAGTCCTGGGCAAAGGAAACAGTCAGGAACATTTCTATTCCCCCCCCCACCCTACTGCCACTTACATGAAATTCCAGTCTTTGAGACCAGTATGATTAAAGACCAGCTTACCTGCTCCAGGTTCCTGGTCTAGTTCCTTCTGTTCCAATGCCACTCCTAGGGCTTGAGATATCATAAGTGGCAGCAGTTTTGGAGGCATCTCTGACCTAGAGGTTATAAGCAGGCATTTAGAGCTAATCTGTTCATTAGAATTACCAGCTCTAGCACCTCTCCCCATAGTCATAGAATCAAGTTAAGTTTGGTGTAAGTTAGTCAGGGTCAGAGAAGTCAGATGACAACCCTACTGGCAGTTTTTATCTCTGTGGACATTCAAATTCCAGAGCCCTGGAGAGGCCCAGGGCTTCCATTACCATTGGTTGTTTCTCATCTTCCCACCTTTCTCTGCAGAACCGTATCACTTCCTCTTTCTCTATTTGATTGTGGACCTAATGCTCTATTGCTATTATTATTCTCTGCAGTCTCCTGCCTTGCTGTGATATAAGGTAGCTTTTTGGTTGTTTTAAGACAGGGTTTCTTGGTACAGCCCTGGCTGTCCTGGAACTCACTTTGTAGACCAGGCGGGGCTTGAACTCAGAGATCCACTTGCCTCCTGAGTGCTGGAATTAAAGGTGTGCTCCACCTGGCAAAATGTAGCTTTTTAAGGAACTGGAGAGAATGCACAGCGGGGGGGGGGGCATATTACTCTTCAAAACCTAGGTTCAGTTCCTATCATCTATACCAGGTGGCTCACAACCACCTGTAACCACACACATACATAGAAAAATGTAATTCCTGGCCAGTCAGGGTTATCCTGTTTCAAAAAATTCAAGTAAAATATTGAGCTTTTGTTTTGAGTTTTCTTATTATTACTAGTTTAATGTAGGGCATGTATACTAACTACATACAAATACAGCACATGTATGGAGGTCAGAGGACAACTTTGTAGAGTCACTTCTACGTTTGCCTCTTTATGTAGGTTTCAGGGATCAAACTCAGCTAGTCAGTATTATGTAGGAATCACCTTTTCCTGTTGAGCCATATTACTGGCTCTTTTTGTGATGTTGTGAGACAGGCTATCACTTGGTAACCATGACTGACCTGGACCTTACTGTATAGAGAATAGCCTCAGACCTGTGGTGGGTGGTCCTGCTGCCTCTGCCTCCTAAGTGTTGAGATCTACACTTCAACATGTCCAGCAATTTATTTTTTGTTTTATTTTCTGCAGCCTAGGCCAGCCCAATAGCCACAACAATCTTACTCAGCATTCTAAGTATTGGGATAAGAGGAATGAGCCAACAAAAACTGTAGCTGTAAGATTAAGCTCTTCCAAAACCAAAGAGATCAACAGAGGTGTGTTGGTGTGGGGAGACATGAACTAGGCACAATGATACATGTATGAAATATTACATTCTCAAGTAGGTGTGGTAGTGCACACCTGTAATGGCAGCCTTCAGGAAGGCTGGAGGATATAGTTCAAAACTGAACCACACAGAGAACCCATCTCAGCAACATCAAAACACAGGTTATGTAGTCACTACTCTGCTATATACTATGTATTTGAGGAGCTATCTAGTCCCTAGAATAGAGGGATCTATCTATTCCATCATCTTTACACTGTCTTATAGCAAAGGGGCATTTCTTTCTTTCAAGACAGGGTTTCTCTGTGTAACAGCCATGGATAACCTCGAACTCACAAAGATTCACTTGCCTCTACTGGGACCACTGCCTGGTGCAAAGGACATTTCTTAACACAAATTTCCCCTATGCAAACCAACACATGGCCCTTCTCATATCTCTAACCCCTAATTTCCAAACCCCAGTGAGCCATTAATTCCTAGGAAGCTGCATGGATATAGAAAAAAAAAAAGTCCTGGGTTTCTTTACTTAGGCCTTTCTCGGAGTAAGGTCTCTGCTGACTTTGGAATTGTATTCATAGGTTTTTGCTCCTGAAGTGAACTTGTGGCAGGGCCCTCAGGCTGAGGGACCTCAGGAAGCTTCTCAGCACAGTGTGGTCCTACAGTACAGCCCTAGTACAGATAAGGAGATAAGGATTAGAAGGAGAACTCTTCCATAGGGAGCAGAATTCAAGCAAGTGAAGGTTTACCTTGATGTTTAAGAACTCAGAGAAATCTACAGTTCGCTTTCGGCAGCAGGACCAACCCTGGTAACAAGAGACCATGATCACCTTGGATTTCCTGGGTATATTTCCTTGGGGGAAATATTCTTGCTAGGCCCCCATTACCTATTCCTCACCTTAAGTGCATCATGGAAGATTGGGACACCAGGGTGATAGTGACAGGAATCTGTAAACACCAGCAGAAAGAGCAAGGCAGGAAAGAGAACTATCAAATGTCATCCCTCATATTTTCTTCAGATTCATGTTAATGGGTTTTCATACAATGTGGAAAGTAAACCAACAGACGAAATTATGCCCAATTTTTGTTCTCCCCGTTCCCAATGACCAGCCCCACAGCTGAACAACACACACTCAGAGCCCCTGAAGATAGTATTTACTCACCAGGGAGATTGCTATTGGGGTCAAAGTGTTGCCCACAGCCTTTGTTATGGCAGAACAGAGACATGGAGGCGTTGGTCAAGCTTACTCAAAGGGTATTTCAAGGAGTCTGGCTGCAGAGTGGGGAACACCTCTTAGTCTGGAGGCTTTTAGCTGCTTAGAAGGGCCAGCTGTTTCTATCTTTAGTTCAGGAGGCGTCCACCTCCAAACATGGGCAAGGGAACTTCAGTTGGTCTTCCTAGCCAATAGGAAAGTGCCCTAGAGTATTTTAGCTCTGAGGCTCAGGAAAAAAGATCAGGAAGAAGAGCCCTTGGAACTTGGGTGAGGTCAGTAACTACAGCAGTTTTAGATGTTGCCAATTCCAAGCCTCTGACATACCAGCAGCTGTTCAGAAATGAAATACTAATTTAGATTGCCCCCTCCCTATGTGGTATGAATACAACCCCTCCATTTTCTGCCATTTGGAATAGCTTGCCTGCCATTGCCTGTAATGTCAATAGCATTAATACTAGCCACTCTTCCTTGCCTCTCACCCTCTCCTCCCCATGTTTGCGTAATGTTTAATATTTCAAATGGTGACAAAGATCACCATTATGTAGTCTACTGTATGCATCTCCCAAGATAGAATTTCATTCCCTCCCTTCCCCTTCAAAAAAACAGCACAGAAAATTAAAAGGCTTCAAATGTATTTTAATAAGGTGATGCTGCATTACTGCTCCATTTCTCAGAAAAATTTCAAATTGAAGGTATCAGGAACAAATCAAACATAGTACACCAATAAAAAATGCACAGCGTAACTACCTAAGATAGGCAAGGCTAAGAGCTACTGTCAGACCTTCAACACAGCAACCCTGTTTCCAAGATTGTACTAAGCCTATCAAGAAAAGCTGTGGACAGCAATATCATAGACACAAAAGGTCATTCTTGAGTAGTCCTTACCCAAGAAAAGATGGAGGCAAGTTAACACAAGACATTCTTTTTTTTTTTTTTTTAAAGATATACTAAAATGAAAACCTCTAAGAGAAAATGTCTTCCTTAGGACATGAAGGGGTTATATATGAGATATAACAGAACCGTATGTATGCTGTAACCTCTGTGGACATTTGTCTGAATTCTCACCTGGGAGTGAATGGAGGAAATTGGGCTAGGTCATTGGAGGATGTTTAAGTTTTGTGGTATATATGGCAGTGTCTCTGGGGTTGAAGGGAAAAAGTACTCAAAACATGAAGGAAGGAAGGAGGGAAGGGAGGGAAAGAAGGAGGGAAGGGAGGGAGGGATGAATGACCAAGATTATTGGAGCTCTGAGTTCATTTTGCTATGGTTCTCCAGGCCCTCAACAATCCACAACTTCAGGAATGCACCAGATAAGACTTGGTAAAGCAATATACCACAGACTTTGATTTGTTAAATACCACCCCTCCCTTGCCCTCTGCCCCCAAGCATACTCCCTATGGTAGTACAGGCAGGGAAGACCTATCTATTGGGAAGAACCCTAACACTTTTCCAGGGTAGAATTCTGGCTAGTCCAAAAAGAGCCTTTCTTTTAACGGTTGTGGGAAACTAGACACTGCAACTTTATTTAGTATCGGCGGCGCTTATTTGGAGCAAATTCAGCTCCAGGAGCTGGACGGTTGAATGCAGGAGGAGTTCCACCAATTGCTCCAATTCCTTCCATTGTAGCAGCCTGGCCAAAACGTTCAGTTGTTGGTGGGGTCTTAAAAGAGAAAGAGAGCAATGTTACAATGGAGTCTCTGTCCTCAGATTGCCACTCATCTATGGTCTTCCCACTACAGACCATTTCTACTTAACTATTCAAAACTACTGACTGCTAAGGGCAAGGTAACGAAGTCTGTTTGGAGTTCTAGTGGAGAACCCTGAGAGGAAGGCTGTACTAGTCACAGCTTCATTCTTTAGCTTTTTAATCCATTATTTTATATACGATTGAAATCCCTATTTGGATAGGTTCTATCCAAGTCCCTTTTCTTGAGTCAGGCTCTCATTTCTCTAACAACCTTAAGTCTGTACAGTTTTGGTCTATCTTATTTTGACATTAGAACCAGAACAACTTCTGGACTTCATGAACCACGAGGCCCTTGGATTCACATCTGTTATATGTCATAATATAATAGAGAGGGCTCTAAAGAAAAACCTGCCGGCCAGAGAATGTAGTACGTGCATTTGGAAGGTAGAGGCAGGAGCAGCTCTGTGAGTTCGAGGCCAGCCTGGTCTACATAGCAGGGTCCAGGATAACCAGGATTATAGACACCCTATCTCAAAAAACAAAACAAAACAAAAAAAAAAAAAAACACAAAACAAAAAGCAACTTGTTTACTGCAGATAACAACTATTACAATCAATGTGACAGATAGAAGCTATTGTTTAAGTCAAAAGTTAAAATGAGTATGGCACTGAATTTTCTCAAGATTACAAACTAGAGCCAGATGGTGGTGGCACACACCTTTAATCCCAGCACTCTGGAGGCAAAGGCAGGCGGATCTCTGTGAGTTCAAGACCAGCCTGATCTATAAAGCAAGTTCCAAGACAGGCTCCAAAGCTACAGAGAAGCCCTGTCTCAAAACGAACAAACAAACAAAACCTAAAGAGGCAGGCAGATCTTTGAGTTTGAGGCCAGCCTGGTTTACAGAGCTACTTCTAGGACAGCCAGAACTCCTACATAGAGAAACCCTGTCTCAAAAACAAACAAACAAAAAAAAAGATTACAAGCTAAAAGATCAGGGACACAGAATACTGAGACAATACTTGCCTAACATAAATCAGATCCTGAGGTTCAATTATCCTCACCACTACCCCTAAACATCTTAGGTTACATTTTATGTATACCAGTAACCCTAGAAATTGGCACCTGTAACAAAATCAAAGTAAACTCACATAGCAGATGCTGGGCAGATAGCTTAATCGGGTAAAAGTATCTGTCCTGCAAGCTTGAGGACATAAGTTTAATTTCCCAGCATCCAATGTTAAAGACCAGTTAACCTAGCCTAATTGGCAAGTTCCAAGTCATGGATGGCACCAAGCAGTTGACTTATAGACACACTATGTACATACACGCACTTACACATGCGTGCGTACACACACAGACCACCCTGGAGGTTGAGAAGTTTCTGCTATCACTATTTATGATTATTATGAGGCTCTGTGGTTTATTACCAATCCCAAGGTTCCATCTGGCATCATAGTGGCAGGTCCTGGAGGAGCTGGGGTACCAGTTGGCACAGGAGCAGGGGGCATGGCGCCTCTATTGTTTATGCCCATAGCACCTAAAGCAGAATAGTATGATCAGTATAGGGGAAAGAGATGAGTCTCTTCTACCTAGAAAAAATTCAATAGGATCTTTAGACTAAAAAGTTTCAATCCCCCACTCCCAGGCTAAAAACTCTAATGTCAAATCATATAAACGTGGCCCAGGCAGAAGTTCCAGAACAAACTAGAGATCGTATTTAAAAAAAAAAAAAAGAAATTAGGCTCTGCAAGTATGAGGATCTGAGTTTAAATTCCAGGTTGGAACATTAAAAAAAAAAAAAAAAAGCGTGGCAATATACACCTTTAATCCCAGCATTCAGCATTGGGAGGGATAGGCAAGTGGATCTGTGTGACTTCAAGATCAACCTGGTCTACTACGAGAGCTACATAGTAAAATCCTGTCTAGAGAGACAAAAAAGAGCTGGGCAGGGCTTTGTGAGGCAGAGACAAGCAGATCATAGTAACTGGCCAGCCAACCTAGGGGAAAAACACAGGCAGGTAGTCCTTTTGGTTACTTGTAGTGAGATAGTCCTTCTGTGGCACTGACCACGCCCATTGGGCGGAAGTGACCTGTGGAAGGATGTCGGAGGGGGCCAGGAAGGCGCTCTCTTTCTGGCGTGACTCGGACAGGAGAGGATCGGGTTGAATTTCCTGGTGTTCATCTGTCTAGGTTGTAAGTTATTTCTCCCTGAATAAACATCTATTCGGCCTATTTGTTTATCCTGATCCTTATTTACCACAATAGTTACTGGATACCTGCTGCTCTTTTCTATAACAAACCCCCCAAGCCAACCAGAACTATTTAACTTTTAAGTCCTTACCTCCCATAGCCATTTGGCCCATCCGTATTTCTTGTTCTCTCTGAAAAACAATACATACTCAACATAGTCCAAAACAATCACTCTATTATAATCCACTGATGACAACACTAAGAAAGTAAACAGTGATGACATACTCTTACCATTTGTACAGTGACTTCAGGTAACAAATTAGAATTTTCTATTAGGAACAAAAAAAGGCAACAGGAGGAAGAACGAGCTAATTTCCTCTTGGGGCTGCATGGGTAACATTGATTAGCCAAAGTGTGCTATAGGACTCTTTCTTATTGTCACTGGATATGAACAACTAACAGTGGTGCTGGCTTTTCATCTTAAATTTGCTGTAAGGCAAGAGCTCTCCTTCAAACTTTACCTTACCACCCTATCAATATCTTTTTTTTTCCTTTAAAAGGAATTTTATAGCATAGAAAAACTGCTCATAACTTGGTATCCTAACAGACAATTCATGGTAGTTTTGTCTTATCACAACTGGCCTGGCACATCATGGGCACATGGGAGATATACCGCATCAGGGAAGGTTCCCTTGAATCCTTCTTGCTGTCGCCGCATCATTTCTTCTTGCTGTCGCCTCATTTCTTCCTCACGGCGCCTGCGCTCCTCCTCCTGCCTATAGAATCACCAAGGTATTCTAAGATAAAAGTACTCCAGAACATGAGCAGACCACTAGAACACAAAGAATATTAAGGCAAAGAGACAAGCCTACTGAAAACCAGCACAGCTTGCCAGGTACTAGGACAACACCCAAAGAAATCGAGAGCAGCACTCAGCTTTCCCTTTAGGCAATGCCTAGAACCAAATGTAACTAAAACATCTACCCAAAGGGAGAATCTGAGAAGCAGTAGAAATACAGGTTGGGTGTTGGTGGCACATGCCTTTAATCCCAGCACTCGGGAGGCAGAGGCAGGTGGATCTCTGTGAGTTTGAGGCCAGCCTGGTCTGCAGCTAATTCCAGGACAATCTCCAAAGCAATACAGAGAAAACCTGCCTTTCTAAACAAACAAAAACAGAAACAAAAAAAAACAAGAAAGAAAAACTTGTCAGTATTTGCAATGTATCAAGAAGAGTGGTGGTGA